CTGCGCGCGCAGACCTCGGGCTCCGCGCACTCGCGCTTGCGCACCGCGCCTGGAACAGAGCGAACGGTGGCCGCGCCGGGAGCGCCCGGCTAGCCCCTTTCCGTGTCCCGGACCCACTCCCCACGCCCGGCCCTTCTGAGCGCTGATTACCAGTCACACCTGGCCCGCGCGCCGGGCGCACGCATCCAGAATCCGCGCGAGACCCGGTCGGCCTGCAGGGCCTGCGGAAATTGCTTCCAGATCCTGCAGCTGCTCATGTTCCCTTTCATGCTTTGGCTACCGGGGAGCTCAGGGCTGATTCACACCCAGGGCCCTTGTTCTCCTGCCTCACCGCTCTATCCTACCCCCGCCTCCCCTTTCCCGCTGCTGTGTTTTCTCTGTTTACACTTCTACTGTATCAGAGAATGCAATAGTGTAAGCCATCCTGGTCGAGTCTGGAAGGAAGTTGGGTGTAGTTATTGCAGCTATACTGGAAATAATACAGAGGTTCCTCAGCCGCTGCAGGGGGTCTATTTAAATGGACAGTACATCAAATCCAAGAGGGAAAAGACTCTCAATAGCTCTTCATAGTGAAATTGACCCTAGTAACTGCTCAGCCGCTGGCCACAGCGCAGGGCCGTCCCGCGGTGCTACCACTCAGCTCAGCTGCCCCAGCCTGGGCAGGGCAGTGACCTGGGGATGCCAGGCTGGGCTCCACCCTGTGCTGCCCTCAGACACTATCCTCCCTGTGCCCGGACGGCAGCCTCCTGGTGCCTCCCATGGGGCTCTGTAGACAGCAGCTGAGATTCGGCAGGGGAAGAGGCAGGGGCAGAGGTTATGGAGGCTGTTACCCAGGGTGAGCCTCCCATCTCCCTGGTGGGTGTCGGTAGGGATCAGAGGAGCCCTTTGCAAGTGAAGGAGCCCTGACCCCTCCCCACTCAGGGGGCAGGGTTTGGATTTCTCAGCCTTTCCTAGGCCCACCTGACTCCCAGGTGGGGGATGGATGGTGGTCCCCAGGCACCTACTGAACACTGAGTGGCCAAGTCCACGTCCTCTGGGAAGCCTCCTCGCCCCACTCCTCCCACCCGCAGCCCCTGACCCAGACTAGCCAGGCGGCCCCCGAGCCCAGCAGCAGAGCAGGGGCTTCCTTGGACACTGGTCAACAGACCAAGGTCTAGTCCATCTCGGGTCCTCTGGGTCACCCTCCCCAGCCCTGCTCACACCAGGGGTGTGTGTGTCTGCCTGGTTGCGCACCCCCTACCTTTCAGCAGCAGCTGGAACTCCTTGAGCAGTACCTCAGGGGGGATGATGGGGCCTGGAGGGCCCTGGGGGCCAGGGGGCCCTGGGGGCCCCGGCAGGCCGAGCTGAAAGAGAACCTTGACGGTGAGGACATCTGAACAGGCCAGCTGGGACCCGCAGGCACCCCCTTGGCAAGCGCCTGCCACTAAGGAAGGCAGGGAGCTCCTACTTTGACCTCCCACTTTGACCTCCCAGCTGGAGATCAGCCTCTGGGGCCTCAGAATGCCCTGAGAAGACAGTGAAAGCTGCCAGGCCCTGGTGTAGACAGGACTGGGCTGTGCTGGAGGCACAGGGCCGGCTGGGGTGTTGGGACCCCTCGGATCAGGGCCAGGGACTGGAAAGGGCATGTGCAGGGAAGCAGAGGGCTGCAGCTCACCCCTGGGGCTGGGATTCCTGATGGAGGGAAAGTAGGAGGGAGGGACCCTCCAGGCTGCTTTCAAGTCTCAAGGTCTGGCAGTGTACCAGTGGGCAAATTCTCCCTGTGCCTGGCCCAGCACTGGGTCCTGGGGTCCTCAAGGAGTCCCTGTGAGGCTGGGCTGGGACCCAACATAGAAACAAGGAAGTCCCCTGCAGGGAGAATGGGGGAGCATCAACTCAGCTGGGGGCGGGGCCAGGTGGCTCAGAGGGACGAGGGTGATGGGTCAGGCCATGGTGACAGCCCAGTAGCCCAGTTGCTCAGGCTCAGAGCCTGGCACTCCATCACTGGGTCAGATCTGGGCAGGGTGAGGCCTGAACTCAATGCAGGTAGCCCAGCCCTGACCAGAGCTCCCCACCCTGGGGAACACGGCCTTCTTTGGGGCTCAAGACAAGAGTCAGCCATCAGGACCAGGAGCCAGGTCACTGTCCAGGCTGACTGAGATTGGGAATCAGCAGCTGCCAGGGCCCAGGTGACCCCCAGCGTCTAGGAACCAGACTGTATCCCTCCAGCCCACCTGAAGGCCCCTCCAGCTTGATCCCTGACTGCCCTACCAAGCCAGCCCGGGCCTCCTATACCAGGATGCAGAGGGCAGAGAAAGGGGAGGGGGGGAGCAAATGGGACTGGCTGACATTCTAGGGCCACAGGGCAAATGGTTGGAACAGCCCCCAAACTCAGGGTCACCCGGGCCCCGGCTTGACACCTGTGCTCTCTGACCTGAGGGCGAGGGTCTGTGCTTGCTGGAAATGCTCAGGGTGTCCAGTGGGGCAACGGTGGCAGATGGGGCTTTTGGGGAAAGACCGGCAAGTGGAGGCCCACAGGTGTGCTCCCCCAGGACGCGTGCACGCACTGCCCGCGGTTGTGCTCACCTTCAACTTCCTGGCCTTGCCTCTGCTCCCCCTCTTGCTGTTGACGCCCCTGTCACTCTGCCTAACAAAGAGCATCCAGGCATCTCGGGGGTCGATGCTGTGCGCTCTCTGGATGCTGGGCTCCTGGAACACAGCCGGCCAGCAGGTCGGTTTGCCTTCCTGGTGCGAACCGCAGAGCAAACAACACTTCGCAGGAGGGCTCTGACATTGTCAACAGCAGTGGCCTCCAAGGCAGCACAGCCCCGGCCCCCAAGCCCTTCCTCCTGGCGCGCAGAGGACGACTCCTGGGGAACAGGCCACCCTCTGCGGCCTGGCCTTTGTGGGAGAGGAGGACCCTGGACGTGGGTGGAGGAAGACTGGGTGCAGAGCTTCAGAGCAGGAGGGAATCGGCACTGCTGGGCCACCGGCCTCTTCCAGCCTCCCTCCCCTCGAGCTGCAGTGAATGCACCTTCCTGGGAGTCAGAGGATCAGACCACTGGCACCCATGGGACCCCCAGCTACCAGCAGACCCTCTGACCGACCCCCACGGCCCAAAGTTCCAGGGAGGCCAATTTCAGCCCTCAGAGCTGCTGAGGCTTACATCCTGGGCTGTTAAGGGGATCGGGGGGGGGGTCCAGCACTGAGATATCATGACTCAAGACCCCTGTACAGGGTGCGACACCACTCATCTTCCTCAGAACTTCAAGCCAAGACAGTGATGGTTCCAGAAATATCCATTCCCCTGCGCGCTGCATTCTGACCAGTCCCAATACCGAGAAAATTCCAGGAGGTGCCTTCCAGGGCGAGGCCTTTGGCCCTCTGAGCAGTGGGCCTCGAACAGTCTGGGCTCCAGGCAAGGCTGCCAGCTGGGAAGCAGACTGGCTCAAGAGGACTTAGATGAGGTCATGGGTGCTGACTCCAGTGGCTGATGGAAGGACCCTGGGATCCTGGCGCCGGCCAGGCCCTTTTGTCAGAGACAGGCCCAGTGGTCTCCTAGCCACTCTGCAGGAATCTGGGGCCTGCCATAGGAAGCCGGTGTGCTGTTGTGTGGAGGATGAGGGCTTCTGTGACGGAGGAACCTAGCTGGACGGAGAGGTCTCAGAGTACCCAAGGCTCCCCGACAGCCCCCAGGTGGTAGACCCTGTGAGGCTCCGCCCCACTGGTTCCTCTCCACAGACACCAGGACCTGTGATCCCACTTCACAGCCTCACGTTGCCATCAGTGGAAACATGAGGCAAGAGGATTCTACATGGGCTGGATGGAGTGCCTTAGCTGACCCTCCCTGCTGGACCAGTAGCCTACGGATGGACTCGGACCCCAGTATGGTTTGCGGAACAGAAACCGGTGGAACCACGTGGGTCTGGCAGGCTGGGAGATGGCCACAGTAGTGTGGGTGGGTGTCTGACAACTACCCTGGCCGACTGAGGTCTCCAGCGGCTCTTAGAAAGGATCCAGGTAGCCTCTGGGGCCGCCTTGGACTCCAAAGAGGGTCTCCCAAGAGGGTCTCCTAGAGCCCCGTCTGCTTCCTGGCCACCACAGTCCAACATGTGACAACTGTGCCCCCACCCCCACCCTGGGGACGTGGTTGGCTGTCTGGGTAGGGTTTGCTGCCCTGGGAAGTGGCTGAGGTGATGGGAACAGAGCTTCGGAGAGGCCCCTCCCAGGGAGCCCAGAGGGCTGGCTGCCACCAGTGCCTGACCTCAGAGCAGGCATCTTGCAGTGGGGCCATCGTGGTTCCAGTGTGATGCGGAGAGCAGAGATGCAGGCCTGAGGCTCCAGTGAGGCCAGGCCCTCTGCCCTGCACACTGGCATCTTCAGAATAAAAGAAATGGGAAGCACCTTCCCTGGCAGCCCTAATCTCCCTGTCTGAAGGGGTCCACCCACACTGAGGGCTCCTCTGAGGGCCCCAGTCCCCTGGCCTCCCCCAACCTGACCACCCTTTTCTGGAGCACTGAGAAGGACGGAGCAGGGCAGAGCTATATATCACCATCCACGGCCAGAAATCATACATCACTGGGGGCCCTGCACCTCCCGCCCCCCACAGGAAGGCAGTTTTTGGTTTTCAGAAAGAATTGCACCAAATAGATTGGAGGCAGGGGTGGAGTGGGGTGGGGTGGTTGAACTTACTTCCCAATTTAGGAGTCCCCAAAGAAAAGGCATTCTGCCTGGTCTGGTAGAACTTTGCTTTAACACCAAAGAACTACTCAGAAAGGCAAGGCCAAGGCTGGCCCGTACAACGCCTGGCTGTGCAGTGGGGCGGCGTCCAGACCTCCTGGATCTTGCCCCCAAGCTAAGCGGTTTTGTGCCCACTTTACCAAGGAGGAAACCCAAGTCTGCCCAGGTCCCAGCTTGCGACACTGCATATCCCATCGCCCCCTAGACAAGCGCCCTCCGCCCTCGCTGCGCCCTGGAACTCAGGGAGCTGTGGGCTC